AATAGTTGGGTGGGGGGTGGGGGACAGACTTGTTCTGCCCATATCAAAGTGCTGAGCCAAAGCGCACGCCTGTAACCCCAGCATTCGGGAGGCTGAGGCAGGAAGATCGTTGCAAGTTCCAGACCAGCCTGGGCCACAAAGTGAGCTCAAGGCCAGCCTGAGATGCATAGCGAGACCCTGTCTCAAAAAGACAAAATAAAAGAGAAAAAATAGATAGTAGCAAAGTGCTGAATAAGGTGAATTAGGGGTCAGGAATATAGCTCAGTGGCACAAGCGCCTTCCTGGCAAACACAAGGTCCTGAGTTCTATTTCCGGTACCAAGGCCAGCCTGAACTATATAGTGAGACCCTGTCTCAAAAAATAAGACAAACGGGGCATAGTGGCACACATCTGTAATCCCAGCACTTAGGAGGCTGAGGCAAAAGGATTGTTGTGAGTTCAAGACCAGCCTGGGCTACAAAGTGGGCTCAAGACCAGCCTGCATTGCATAGCGAGACCCTGTCTCAAAAAAGGCACACACACAAAAAAAGGGGGCACTGGCACAGGAATAGGCAATAGAACAACACAAAATAGTCCAGAAACAGGCAAATTGAACCATATGTCGTGGTGAGGCTGAGCTGTTAGTAAGTAAAAGGAAACAGGTTAGCCATCCAGAACAAAATAAAGCTGGATCCTTACTTTAGGTCACATACAAAGATCTACACATAAAACCAGTGGTGAGGGGTGCGGCTGACTAGCAGAAGCTTGCCTGTCAATGCAAGGTGCTGGGTTCAGTCTCCAGCAACACTCCCCACACACACACAATATGGGTATTATACACACACACTTATACGAATGTATGTTTACATGTATGTATATATATAGATATGCATTTACATATGTATGCATATCTTAAAGTTATAAAAGAATAAAGGTAGTTTTGCAATAGAATGGGAGTGAAGGAAACTATAAAGATAAAGATGAACAGACTTCAAAAAGATTAAACATTTCTCACTAGGGATAAATCAACATATTCAATATATAAAGTCATTTGGCACTGGGAAGGTGATTATACAATGCAATAAACTGGACTTAATTCTAAACAAAGAGCTGCAACAAATCAATAAGAAAAAGGCAAATCTGTATTGGGCAAAAGTTATTAATAAGCAACTCACAGAAAAAAATAGAAGTGGTTAATGAGTATGTTTACCCATAATTTTAACCAGAGAAATACAGTTTAAAACATTTTTTCACCAGTTGGGCCAGCAAAAAACTACACTGATTATATCAGTGTTGGCCAGTGAGGGAGGAGTATAAATTTATTCTAGAAGGGCAAATGGTAGGACCCAGGCAAATCATAAATATATGTGTCCCTTGGCTGAGCAGCTCTAATTGTTTGTTTTGTTTTAAGACAGTCTCATTATGTAGTCTAGGTTGGCCTTAAACCTGTGATCCTTCTGCCTCGGCCTCCTGACATCAGGAACTATAGGAATACACTACTGCCTGGCTCCAGGAGTTCCACTTTCTTTTTTCTTTTTTTTTTCTGGTTAATTGAATGCAAGGCTTTCATACTGAGCTACATCCCCAGCCCTTTTTTAATTTTTTCTATTGAGACAGGGTCTCACTAGGTTGCCCAAGGTAGGCTTGAATTTGCCATCCTCCTACCTCAGCCTTGTAGAGTGCTGAGATTACAGGAGTGTACCACCATGCCTGGCTTCAGCAGCTCACCATACAGCAGCAACCACATAGGACAACACAGAATTCATAGCAGGTTTTTTTGTCCCTGACATCAAAGAATTGGAGACCGTATGCATGTTTAATAATAGTTGGGCTAAGGGTATTGCTCAGTGGTATAGCATTTGCCTAGCTTACAGGAGGTCCTAGGTTCAATCCCCAGCACTGCAAAAAAAAAATGATAATAATAATAATTAAAGTATAGTACATTGGGCTGGGGATATAGCTCAGGGGCACAGCACCTGCCTGACAAGTGCAAGGTCCTGAGTTCGATTCCAGGTACAAAAAAAAGTATACTACAACATTTTTTTTTTTTGTACTGTGAATCGAACTCAGGACCTTGAGCTTGGTAGGCAGGCACTTGTGCCACTAAGCTATATCTCTGGCCCTACAACATATTTTTTAATACAGTGTGACTATGAAAAATGAATATATGATCTGTAGATAATGATATAGAAGTATACATTAATACATCTTTAAGGAAAAGCAGTATTCAGAACAATGAGTATATCCTGGTTTTTTGTTGTTTTTTTTTTGTTTTTTTTTTTTTTTTTTTTCTGTCTTTTTGAGACAGGGTCTTACTATGCAGTTCAGGCTGGCCTTGAGCTCACTTTGTAGCCCAGGCTGGTCTGGTGTTGAACTTTCAATGATCCTCCTACCTCAGCCTCCCAAGTGCTGAGATTACAGGCGTGCGCCACCACATCTGGCTCTGATCTTTTCTATTTTATTTCTTTAGCTCTGTGTATGCAGGGAGAGTTGAGGGGATGCTGCATACCACACTGTTGGCCCCGGGGAGCAAGGGGGCTGGAAGTCCTTATATTCTTTACATATCTCCCCATTGGTTGCATTTTTACAATAAGCAAATGTTTTCAGAATGATTTTTTTTTTAAGTTATCTTGTCCTGAGAAAGGAATCTGAATTCCTGCCTTGTGTATTGGGGAATTTAATCTCTCTAGCCTGAACCACCTTCTCTGTATGAATATATACATACATACAGACATACTCATTTTTCCGTTTCTCAAGTGCTGTGATGTCTATAGCTACTTTTATAGTAGAAACAAGTAAGCCTCTGTTCACTTTTTACAGTTATTATGTATGTTTTTGTTGTTGCTGTTTTTGTTTATGTTTTTGTTTTTCTTCTGGTATCAGGAATCGAACTCATGACCTTTTGCCACTGAGCTAAATCCCCAGCCCCTGTGTATTTATTTTGTGGTACAGAATCTTGATGTGCAGGACTAAGCATCCGCTCCACCACTGAGCTACGTTTCCAGGCTTGTTTTACCTTTTTTTTTTTTTTTTTTTTTCTCGTACCAGGAATCGAACTCATGACCTTGCGCTTGC